GGTCAGATGTGAGGGCTTTCATATTCCTGGTAAGATAGGAGGCAAGGTCTAATCAGTTTAATTGATGGGGTTCACAGAGGAGGTTTCATTGCAAATGAAAAAGATCAGAAATTCTGCTGAACCCTGGCTCCATTATCCATGGCAAACTGAAATGTTTTTCTAGTCTTCTAATCCTTTAAAACTATTTTTGAAGTAATAAATGTAGTTTCCCTAGCCTATGAGAATTTATATCACATTTTCTTATTTAACTCAGCATGTAAATTGACAAGTAAAAATTAATTTTAACTATGAATGATAGATATGAAATTGATTAGAATTGAGCCATTAGTAAAAAACTCAGTACAGCTCTAAAGAATAAATGAATAATAAATTTTCTTTTTGATGAGGTTGAAAATATTAGGCAAAAGTATTACAGAAATTATGCTTTTAAAAGTTTGTAGGTGTTTAAAGTTCCACCTTGTAACACCAAGGTCAACAGTTCAGATCCCCATACCAGCTGGCCACCAAAAACAAAAGAAAAAAAAAAGTTTATAGGAAAAGGAGGAATTTGATGTTTGAATGCAAGTACTCCTAGCTTAAGTGATTCCTTGCCTTGAGACCATACATTTAGATCAGGTATAATGCTGAGCATTCTGCAGCATTGGAATACTTTAGGGTGAGTAATCCTTCAGGATTTATTGTTTTCTTATCTTAATTTTTGTTCTGGCTTAGCTGTTTTAAACTAGTCTTAAACTATATCTATGGGATAATATTTCATAAGTAGTTCCTTTTGTTGTGTTTTAGAACACCATTTTATGGTAGTTACATAGCTATGACACTATATAGTTTAACCACAGCAGCTCTAGTTGAGGAATTTTCTTAATCTTATATTCATGGTATAATAAATAGCCAGACCGTAATTGTAAATGAAGTTGCCCTGACAGTAAATCTATTTATTATTCATTAAGCTTTAAGTCTGTTGTTTATCTAATTTAGAATAGTTCATTCAACTTAATGTTTGAGATTCTAACCATGTGCCTGCTAGTGATATACAAAAATGAATAAGGAGGCCACAGTCTAGGAAGGAAACAGAAATGTGTATAACTATATAAAATATAACATGATAAATTTAGATTAATAGCTTATGTAAGCAACGTGTTATGGGAACCCAGAGGATAAAGTAAAAACAACCAAATAGAATTGGGGAACATTTTCCCCAAGGATAGGATGGAAGAAGGCCTCAGAAGATTATGCTTTATATTTGTTAATGCTTTACAGTTTCCTGAGCACTTTTATAAATATTCTCAATTGAATTCTCAAAATAACCTGGAGGAAGGCAGAACAGGTATTTTCCGCCAAAATTTATAGATGAGCAAACTGAGATTTCAGATAATATTCATTATCTTAACAGGATAACCAACCTGGTAGCATGGCTAAGACTGAAACATGGTTCTTTTAACTCGCAGGTCTATGTTCTTTCCCCTAAACCATGTAACATTCTGGGCAGGAAGAATACCTTGAACAGAAACATTGAGGCTTATGAGCACCAGGTGTACTTGAAGAATGTTACATAACCATTTGCCTAAACTATGCGACAAATGGTAGATGAAGCTAGGAAAGTAAGTTGGTGACTAACAAAGGAACCATAATTTCAGAGGCCTTGAATTCTACACTAAGAAGTTTGAACTCTGAAGAGCTTTAAACTAGAAAGACAGGATCTACTAGGGTAAAAATCCTAATGGGTCTGTAGTGATTTACCATAGAATAAAAGACATCAAGATCAGAAAGGGAGAAGTAAGACCGTCTTTATTTGCAGAAGACATGATTGTCTGTGTAGAATATCCCATAGAATGTATTAAAAAACTACTAGAACTAATAAGTGAGTTTAGCAAGGTTGCAGGATACAAAATCAGTATGCAAAAATCGGTTATATTTCTGGATACATGCAATGAATATTCAGAAATTAAAATAAAAATACCATTTACAATAGTGTAAAAATGTGAAATACTTATAGATAAAGGTCACAAAAGATGTGCAAGACCTTTTATTGAACTGTTCAAATAGTAGGAGTAAGTGGGCCAATTCAGCAAGTATATAGCATGAAGCAGGAAAGCCAGTGACGAAACTTGCTTAAGGGACTAGGACCAAGAAGCAGAGAAAGAGACACTGTGAGGATGGAGGATGTCACACTGCAGGAGAGAAATGTCTGGGAGAAGAAACGAAACTGATAAATTACCTGATGTTTTTCCAGTCGGAAGATAGTATTCAAAGAAGATTTTATAGTTCTGTTAGAGAGTCCAAAAAGCCTCTCTAACAAGAACAGAGAAAACTAAGCAAAAAAACCCCAAAGTAATGATTAACTATAAGAAAATTAAAAGTTCACAAGGAAGGAAATGTAATCAGCAAAACACTGCATGACTCCAGCGTGAAATGTTTACATAGTCATAATAATATAAACATTAAATATAATTTAACCAAAAATTATAATAGTATTAGTAGAGTAAGAGGGTGCAGTAAAAGAGAAGTAAATCTTCATTTTCCATAACCAAAAAGCAATAATGTCTAAAACTGAAAATATACAAGAAACAGCAGTATAGATATGCTGTTTAGAAATAAAGAAGTTAATACACAATAAATCACTAAGAATGGCAAATTACTATTAGGAATGGAAATCAGGGCATAAGGAGCCATGGGACAGGGGAAGATGGTTTTCATCATAAGCAATGTATAATGCAATTTGTCTTTGTAAACTATTTTCATGTATTATCTTGGATAAAATTAAAATTTAAAAAGATAATTTGTCGATCAGTAGAAATAGTGAGCTATTAATTTGTAGAAAATTCCTTAGCTATTTAGTTAGATGGGCTTAATTCTGAAACTGAGAATACTACAATAGTCTGCATCTCTTCCCATTGTAAACATGTGGATTTCTTTTTTTTTTTCCTAAAAAATTTATTTATTTTTGATTATACATATTTATGGGGTACAGAGGTGAGTATCTGTGTTTGTGTACAGTATATGATGATCAAATTGATATTATTAGCATGTTCATCATTGCAAATTGTAATTACTCTTTGTGTCCCTTACCCAATTACTCCTTAACCTCCCCATTCCCCTTTCTCACCTCTAGTAGCTATAGGTCTGTTCTCTCCTAAAAGTACAATGTTTTATTGTGCTCCCACTTATGAGTGAGGACATGTGGTACTTCTCATTCTGTGCCTGGCTTATTTCACTTAATATAATTTTCTCCAAACTCATCCAAGTTGCTGCAAATGGCAGAACTTTGTTCTTTTATATGGCTGAGTAGTATTCCATTGTGTATATATACCACATTTTCTTTATTCAGTAGTCCATTGATGGACAATATTTAGGTTGGTTCCATATCTTGGCTATTGTAGATAGAGCTTTTCCAGTTTGGATGTCCTTTATTTCTTTCTCTTGCCTGATTGCTCTGGCTCATACTTCTTTTTTTTTTTTTTTTTTTCCTTTTTGTCTTTTTTCGTGACCGGCAATGGATCGCAACCCTCAGTGTCGCGCCCGGACTGGACCGGGACCGGCAACGGAATCGCAACCCTCGGTGCTGCGCCCGCACCTCGCTCAGCTAGTGAGCGGCTGGTCTGTATGTGGGATCCAAACCCTCGGCGGGAGCATCGCCGCACTCCCAAGTGGCGCACTGTAGCAGTGCGCCACCGGGCCGGCCCCTCTGGCTCGTACTTCTAATACTATGTTGAATAGGAATGGTGAGAGTGGGCATCAATGTCTTGTTCCTGTTCTTAAAGGAAAAGCTTTCAGTTTTTCCCAGTTCAGGATGATGATGGTGGTGGGTTTGTCATATATGGCTTTTATTGTGTTGAGATATTTTCCTTCTATACCTAATTTGTTCAGGGTCTTTATCATCAAGGGATGCTGAATTTTGTCAATTGCTTTTTCTGTGTCTGTTGAGATAATCATATGGTTTTTGTATTTGGTTTTGTTGATGTGTGGTGTATCACATTTATTGATTTGTGTATGTTGAACCATCCTTTCATCCCTGGGATGAATCCCACTTGATTATGATGTATCATCTTTTTAATGTGCTATTGTATTTTGTTTGCTAATATCTTGTTGAGGAATTTTGTGTCTGTGTTCACCAAGGATATTGGCCTGTAGCTTTCTTTTTTCAGTTGTGTCCTTGTCTGATTTTGGTGTATCAAGGTGATGCTGGCCTCATAGAATGAATTTGAGAGAATGGCCTCTGTTTTGATTTTTTGGAATAGTTTGAGAAGGATTGGTGTTAATTCTTCTTTACAGAACAACAGAATATATATCTTCTCATCAGCACATGGATCATTCTCCAGAATAGACCATATGCTAGGTCACAAATTAAGTCTCAGCCAATTTAAAAAGGTTGAAATCATATCAAGTAAATTTTCAGACCACAATGGAATAAAATTAGAAATTAACTACAAACAAAACTATGGAAACTATACAAATTCATGGAAGTTAAACAACATGCTCCTGAACGACCAGTGGGTCAAAGAAGAAATAAAGCAAGAAATCAAAAACTTCCTTGAAATGAGTGAAAATACAAGTTTAACTTATCAAAACTATGGGATACAGCAAAAGCAGTACTAAGAGGGACGTTTATTGCAATAAGTGCTTACATCAAAAGAATAGAAAGACTTCAGGTAAACAACCTAATTTAAATCTCAAAGAAATAGAAGAAGAAGAACAATCTAATTCTAAGACTCACAGATGGAAAGAAATAATTAAGATCAGAGCAGAACTAAATGAAATAGAGACCAAAAGAATTATGGAAAAAATCAATGAAACAAAAAGTTGGCTCTTTGAGAGGATAAACTAAATAGACAAGCCATTGGCTGGACTAACTAAAAAAAGAAGAGAAAAGACCCAAATAACAAAAATCAGAAATAGAAAAGGGGATATTACAACTGATACCACAGAAATACAATTTGTGGATTTCTAAGCACTGTTAACTCTTATTTTTGTTTCCATAGGTTGATGAAAAAAACATTGGAGAACCTGGTTGGCTTTATGGTAATTTTCAAGGAAATTTTGGCTGGTTTCCATGCAACTATGTAGAAAAAATGCCATCAAGTGAGAAAGCTGTGTCTCCTAAGAAGGCTTTGCTTCCTCCTACCATATCTTTATCTGCTACCTCAACTTCTTCTGAGTAAGTTCTTAGCTAATAGTAGAGTTTATATAGCTCTGTAAATGTATAAATACCTAATACATAGTTGTGTCAACCTACTACTTCATTATAATCTGGGCTGGACTCGCCAAGAGTACTTTTTGTTCCAAATTTAATACTAAAGTTTAATAAATGAAAAAAAAGGTGAGTAGTTTGTTCATGTATTCTTTTTTTTCACAAGTTGTGTTTAAAAACACAGTGTATGTAATATCTAAGTTGAGAACTCGGTTGTACTTCATTATGTTCTAAACAGTTAAGTATACTTATATCAAAGTGTTATATTTGCAGACCACTTTCTTCAAATAAACCAGCATCAGTGACCGAATATCAAAATGTATCATTTTCAAACCTAACTGTTAATACATCATGGCAGAAAAAATCAGCTTTTACTCGCACAGTGTCCCCTGGATCTGTATCACCTATTCATGGACAGGTATGTTGTCTGTAATTTTTATGTGCTTTATTCTTTGAATTTGCTCCTGATTCATGTAAAGTAGAATGGAGATTTTGTACAAAGGCATCATTCATTCATTTAAACAGAGTTTGTAGCATTCAGTTTGTGTTCTTATCATTCACATGTGATGTGAAGTTGAAGAAATGATTACTTAGAGGTTTCTCAATGTCAGTTTGTTCCCATAGTACCAAGTTGCTAGGTTTTTAAGCTCAAAATATCATTTTTACAAATCTGATTATATATTGTTTTTTATTTGTAGTTATGAGAAAAGAGATTTGGGCTTGGGGTGTTTTTATGTTTTCTTAAATAAGTCATTTGTCTGGGAACCTTGGAACGCTTATATATATATTTAGCCTCTGATTTAGATGTAACCATTACAAGTATTTTTACATTAATATTATTAGGAAATCACAGTCTTCATCAGAATAGTCCCACAGATTTAACTTTCATTCAAAAAATGTTTATTGCAGGACCATAGGTTCCAGGTATTTTCTTGCGTGCTAGAAATTTAAGGAAAAATAATTGAAAAATCTCTGCCATTATCTAGTTTATAGTCTAATAAAGGTGACAGACAAATAAATAACTGTAAAGTCTGAGAAATGTTGTAATAAAGATGTCTACGAAGTCCTGAGGGGGGGATACAGAGGAGAAAGTATCTTATTCATTCTGTGGAAATTAGAGCAGGCTTCACAAAGGGCAGGGTGTTTGAGTAGGACCTTCAAAGATAAGCAAGATTTCAACAAATGAAGAAGGAAAGTTGTTCCAGTGAAAGAACAATTTGGGGAAAGTCGATGAAGCATGTTAACAAAAGGTATTTGCAGGAAACAAGAATTATTTCTAGTATGGCTAGAGTACAGGATTCATGGAGAAAAGGTTAAAAAGTGAAGTTGGGAGAGGTTGAGGTTTGTTTTTAAAGCATTCAATACCATGTTAAGCAACTTGGTAGTAGAAAGTCTGTGAAGGTTTTTAAGAGAGGGGTTGTGTATATTCTAGAAAGATAACTGGCAGTAACGTAGAGGCTAGATTGGTAGAAGGAGGCAAAGGAAGGAAACCAGTTAAGGGAAGATATTTATAGCAGCTAAATAACAAGAGAAGATGGTGTGAACCAGTACCATAGTAATGAAAATATATGGAAGAGGAGATGGATTTAGAAGAATATGAGGAATTGACATAAAATAGATAATCCATTGAATGTGGAGAGTGAGAAAAAAGTTAAAGATAATTCTTCAGAGTCTTTAGCTTGAGCAACTGAAAGGATGGTGATATTGTCTTTGGTAGACAGTGCAGGAGAAGTAGGTTTGGTGAGTTCTAAAAATGGTACCTCAGACATGTTACGGTTGAGGTCTCTGTATTAGGGACAAGCTGGTGGGAGTGCCCAGTAGGCAGTTTGATGTGCAAGTCTGAAGCTTAGGAGATAAAGTTACACAGAAAATACACATTTGAGAAGTCATAGGCATAAATAAAATTATTTAGGGAAGTCATGTGGAACAGTAAGGGAAAAGGGCTGGACAAAAATGGAGCTATCAGTCACCAGAGAGTGAGATTTAGGAACTACCAGGATTTCAGTGATGTCAGTCATCACTGTTAAGAGATTGAGGAGAATAAGAGTTTGGAATAAGCTTTTGGCTTTGATGAAGAGGTTCAGTAGTGTGGTAGGTGCAGAACCTTAATTAGAAGGGATTGAAGGGTGAAATTGTAAAGCAAGTGTAAAACTATTCTTTAAGGAATTTAGAAGTTGAAGAAAGAGATTGATGATTGAAGAGAGGGACTTAACAGTGTTACAAAATATTTTTACAATATGTGAAGGCGTAATAGAAGATTTAGAGTACAAGCAAAGATGTTAGCCTTATTAAAAGAACGAAAACACTGCATCCTCTGAGAAGGGAGGGAAGGAAAGAAGAATGAATAAGAATTCTATATTACTATACGAAGAAGTTAAGAGACAAAAAAGCAGAAAAGCATAGGGAGGCTAAGCATGACCACATCTCAATTCAACAGAGTCAACTACAGTTAGAAGACTTTGAAAGCTGGAGAAGAGAAAAGATTTGCAGTAACTCTTTCCCTTTGATCCATGATATATATCTGATGGGTTTATGAATACATTTCTTGGGTACCCACTATTTATCTTCCATACAGTGATGATGGTTCCTTGAATGGTAGGCGTTAAGCCTATCTTTAACTTAACAGGAAGCTATTCACATGGTTGTCTCTCATGTATTATAATTTTTAGTCACTAGTAGATTAAGGTTATCTTAAGTCACCACCATACCAAACTGGTCTGCTGTTTGACGGGAAATATGTTATATGCTAGAAAACAGAAATCATGGTTACCTTTGTCATTTTTTTTCATTGTTGTGGTTTTGTATTTACAGGGACAGGTTGTAGAAAACCTAAAAGCACAGGCCCTTTGTTCCTGGACTGCAAAGAAAGATAACCACTTGAACTTCTCAAAACATGATATTATTACTGTCTTGGAGCAGCAAGAAAATTGGTGGTTTGGGGAGGTGCATGGAGGAAGAGGATGGTTTCCAAAATCTTATGTCAAAATCATTCCTGGGAGTGAAGTAAAGAGGGAAGAGTAAGGATCTTTATGTGGTTACATGAGATGTGGATATTGGTATCTTTACTAATGAGTTAGCCATAGTATAACTAACTGAACAATAAAATAAAAAGTTCATGCTTGAGTTTGAGTATCAGAAAGGTAATTCCCAGGGTTAAAAAAGCACACTTCTGATATTTGTACCAGTTTTAAGATATCTTTTATTCTAGTTATTTCAGATTTTTAAAGTTTTCAAAGTACTTAAATTTTTAGATCTGTTGCTTTCTTTGTACCATAAGATCGTTAGTAACATTACTTTTCATTTCCTTTGGAACATTTCTTCCTTATTTACTGTAAATTGTCAATATTTAAATAATTCTTTACTGAGAACCTCCCCTTTGCCAGATCGTATCTCAAAGATATTCATGGAAGATCTATAGAGCTTTAGTGTCACCTCTCCCAGGGTGATGGTACAGCCTTCTCATCTCTTGGCCTCTAGGGTGCCTTGAATTTAACCTCTCTTATTGTTCATAGCACATTGTGTTATAGTTATTGACTTTTTTCATCCATGTCTTTTATTAGGTCACAAGTTCCATGAGGATGGAATCCATGTCTCTTTTTTTGTTATTTGTTTTTCAGTTTTCTCCATGCGTAGTGTAATCTTATTACATAGTAGCTGCTCAATCCTATTAGCTCAGTGAACAAGGAGAGGAACGAATGAATGAACAATCGAATGAAATTTCAAATGAACAAAACCCAAAACTAAATAGGTTAAGGTCTCTAGTCTTTATTTCCCGATCTGTAGTAGAGTCAAGTTGTCAAATATCTTTAATTCAAGGAAATAAGTACTATAATATAGCTATGGGTAACTACTCTTGTGTTTTATATGGAAGTTGATCTAAATAGAAAAGCAGTCTGACTTAATGAAAAGGCTCTGGTCTTTGGAAATCAAGAGGCTTGAGTTCTGGTTCTGGTATTTTTGTCAAGCTGTAAGGAGTAACCTACTTGGTCTTTAATTTTCTAATTGAGTGAATGAAAAGATTAATCTTTATAAATCTTTGCAGTGCTGAGTTTCTATGTATCAATATTTAGTTCAAATACAGATATTTACTTTTCAGACTGACATGAAATTTTAGATTTAGAAGTATCTGATAATAACAGTAACAATAATAATATATAACTGACATTTGTATGCCAACACTGTGCTAGGCCCTTTCTAGGAATTATCTTATTTAATCTCCATAACATTTTACAGAGAAGAAAACTTAAGCAGAAAGAGATTAAGTTTAAATATTTTAGAATACATTTCTTCTAACTTTTCATTCAATTACCAATCTTTTTTTAATTTAATTAAATTTCTTTTTTATTGTAATGGTTGACTGGAATTACTGATCTTTTCTAACAGATAAGGCATGTAACTTGAAAACCAGCACTAATGGAGTAGTCAGCACTAAATAAGGCAGTTCATTCAGTTGTGGCCCTGAGATGTAGTAAGGTTCTCCTACTTACCTGAAACTGTCTCATTATATAGTTTACTCACGGGTCCTGGGGATCCCTGGTGTATCCCACAGATCTTAAACATGACAGTCTTCTAGATTTTTGAAAACAGTTTCCTGGGTTGCAGGAAATTAATGTTATACCTGTTCTGAGATATAAAAATAAAGTTTTATAATTTATGTATTTTTTAATGTAGTGTTCTCTAAACAAATAATAAAATTTGTATATTGCCTCTGTTTTCCATAAACCAAGCCAGGCCCCATATGTGCTTTACCAAACGACTATCCATTTACCAATGTGCTGCTGTCTTTTAAGTTCCATTAGGAAAGCAAAATATCTCACATTTGAAAAGCTATAAATTATACTAAAATTAATTTATTTAAAAATGTAGAAGCAGAGCTGGCCAGTTAGCACAGCTTGTTAGAGTGCAGCCTTCTAATACCCAGGTCACGGGTTTGGATCCCTGTACCAGCCAGCCACCTAAAAAAAAAAAGTACAAGTTTATAATTAGGCAGTTCTTAATCCAGCAGGATTTTTTATATTAGAGTATTCCTAGTCTGTATACTGAGACAATATTTAGGTTGAGAAAGCCTTAGAAGCACTGCTAAAACCAGTTTTATTTATCAAATTGTTTTTTGCTGGTTTGTATCTTTTTGTTTTGTTATTGTTTTTTATTTGTTTGTGTGTTTATTTGGCAGACCAGAAGACTTGTATGCAGCTGTAAACAAGAAGCCTACCTCCTCAGCCTATCCAGTTGGAGAAGGTGAGCTTTTGGCTATTTGTAAATTAGATGGGAGTCAGTTTACCTACTGTCCATTTACCTGACTTCACACAGTTGTTATTCTTTCTGTTTCTGTTTCTTCAGTGTTGAAGTAAGATTAGGAAATCCTGTCCCTGACTATTTCACAGGAATGTTGAGGATACAGAAAAAATATGGCTGTGGCTGGCTGGTTGCTCATTATAATGTTATATAATGTTATATAACACCAAAGTGATCAATGGTTCAGATCCTTGGACTGGCCAGCTGCCAAAAAAAAGAAAGAAAGAAAGAAAGAAAGAAAAGAAAAAATATGAAAATACTTGGCCCTTTATAGGAAGTCAGTACTATGAAAATGCAACATAATATGAATAAAAAGTGTTGCAATGATTGATTATAGATGTTTAGGAGGTAAGAAAATATCAGTATATTTATTAGTGTATAAATTGCATTTTAATTATAGTGTGCCATTAAATTATTAAATAGGATTTGAAATCAAGGTACACTTTATCACAAATATTGCAAATAATTTTTTTTCTATAGCCCTTTGGGTTGCTTTGATTAATAAATTATTTTGATTTTGTTAATATGATAAAAAATGAAAAATTGTCTCCCCTAATTTCAGTCAGTATTTGTATTTTAGTTACATAGATTTATAAATGACATTTATATGTCTATCATAAAATCAGTTGAACAGTCAAAGTATATTTTATGTTTTGCTCAAAAAAGGTTTAATGATAAATTAAACAGTTTATTTAGTATCTACTATGTTGAAGATTCTGTGCTAGAGGCTGAAAGATACCAGGATGAATATAACACACTCTCCAGAGTGCTCACAGTAGAATGAAGAGGATAAGCATACGGTTGTGATAAATTCTGTAAGGAGTGAATAAAAACAACTAATTTTTAGTAGGACCTGTGAATCCACAGAGGTGACAATGTTGTATCATCTCAATCAATGGGTAGGATCTTGGATAGTGACAAAGGAGGAGAAAGGTCTTCCAGACAGAGGGAATGGCATGAGGCAAGTCAGGGCAGTGAAAGTTTAGGGAACTTCAGGTTACCAGTGAGGCTGGAACCATTGGTGTACTGTAGAATGAGTGCTGTGAGATGAGCTAGGATAGTAGTGAGGAGCGTTTTGGAAAGGACTTTACTTATTGCAGCATGCCTAAATTTTGTAATCACTTTTAGTTTTATTAAATCAGCTAAGTTGACTAATACTGGGAATGTGAGTAATAAGTAGTGTAGATGGTGTTTTTGACATCTCCAGTTTATGATATACAGATCATATTCCATGTTGGCAAATATAAATAGAAGTAGAAAAGAAAGAAAAAGACTTCTAAAACCCAGTCACTGACTGTTTCTTCTGAGTGATAGTAATCACAGGGACAAAAATGAAAGCCAATATAAAAACTTAGATATTTGCCTTGAGGTCATTTATTAGCAACTATTTATGTTTTAGTCCGTTTTGTGTTGCTATGACAGAAATACCTGAGACTGGGTAGTTTATAAAAGAAAGAGGTTTATTTGGCTTACGATTCTGGGACAGCTGCATCTGGCATGGGCCTCAGACTGCTTCTAGTCATGGCGGAAAAGTGGCAGGCAGCTGGCAGGTACAAGCAGATCACATGGCAAGAGGAAGCAAGAGAGAGAGAGAGAGAAAAGGTGCCAGGGTCTTTTAAACAACCAGCTTTTGCAGGAACTAATAGAGCGAGAACTCACTCATTAATCCACCCCCGACCCCCAGGGAGAGCATTAATCCATTCATGAGGGATCCACCCCCATGACTCAATCAGTTTCCAACACTGCCACATTGGGGATCAAATTTCCACATGAATTTTGGAGGGGACAACACATCCAAACTCCATCAATTTATTAAACATCTATTTCGAGCTAAGCACTGTGCTAGGAGCTGGGTTGTTGTGGTGGAACTTGACTTCTAGTACTGCTGTCTGCTGGATATTGGGTGTTCCCACAACTGTATATAGAAGAATTAAAGAGAAAAGGATTTAGCAGATTAAAGTATATTTTGTATAAGAAAGTTTAAAAAATCTTTTCATGTCTTGACTGTAATCTGCTAGCTGAGTAACTTAATCTCACTGAGCTTCAGTTACATTATCCATAGAGATACTAATACTGTTTGCAGTTTTGAGTAATTCTTTGTGATAAAATAAAAATAATAATAATAGTAAGACAATTGGAGAAGAAAGAAACCCCATGATAAAGCTTTATGTTAAATCAAATAACCTTTTTCTAAAGAATTATTAAATAATTGTGTCTTTCCTTTTTCTACCTTCAGATCTTTTTGTTTTAGGTTTCCTTAAGGCACAAGGCTTTTTACAGTAAACTTTATACAAGATCCTGGAAATTAACCTAATTTCTCTTTTACTTCTGTAATCTTACAAACAAACTCAGCTTCTTTTTTGCTTTGGTCCCTACAGAATATATTGCACTTTATCCATATTCAAGTGTAGAGCCTGGAGATTTGACTTTCACTGAAGGTGAAGAAATACTGGTGACCCAGAAAGATGGAGAGTGGTGGACAGGAAGTATTGGAGATAGAACTGGAATTTTTCCATCAAACTATGTCAAACCAAAAGATCAAGAGGTAGAGTTATTTTGGTATTAAAAACAAAGTCATTCCATTCCTGTTGATCAAGATTTATACTTAAAACAGAAATCATGCATACTGTTTTGAACAGGCTGTTTTGGTTTTAAGGAAACCACTCAGTTAGCACCAGTAAAATAGGGTTTATTATAGGGATCTGGTTAGAGAGATAAGAGGGATAGGATTTTATGAAATTCTAAGAGCAAGAGCTATAGGTAGGGCTGAACCTTGTGATAACTGAAGCTTGGGAATGGTTCTGGATTCAGAGAAGCTCACAAAGGATCACCTTGAAGGATTTTGTAAATCTTCAAGGCTCTGATGTTAATGTGACTCAGCCTCCACTCTTGAATTTCTGCTTTTTTTCATTCCACCACTAGTACAGCACAGTGAAGTTCTCAAACTTTTTAGTTTCAGTAACTTCTTATGTTCTTAAAAGTTTGGGGGGACCCCAAGGTTTTCTTTAAGTATATGGATTATAGCTAGTGTATTTACCATGTTAGAAATTAAAACTGTGAAATTATTTAAATATTTATTAATTTATTTTAAAATAACAGTAATTAAATCCACTACATGGTAACATGAATAACTTACTTTTATGAAAAACAACTATATTTTTCAAGAAAAAAAAATGAGTGAGAAGAGTGGCATTGTTTTATATTTCTGCAAATCTATTTAAGGTCTAGCACACTTTAAGACAGCTAAATTCTCATATCTATTTCTGTGTTTAATCTGTTGGCAATATGTTCTTTTGGTTGAAGTATATGAAGAAAATTCAATCTCACACAGATATGGGAGAAAACGGAGAATTCTTTTAATAACATTTGCAGATATCTGTGGGTATTCTTCTTTGATTCTTTTATACCAAAACTTGACAAATGCTAAGTTTATATAGGTTAGTTGCAACATGTAATCTGAAGCCTTGT